TGGCACAAATCTGATCCTCCTAATGCAGTCAGGCGAGGCCACGCCCTCTCCATCCCGTCCTCTCAGCAGCAGAAGGACGGGATGGAAAGTGCACGAGCACGTGCACGTCTGTGACACGCAGTGATGATGATGATGATGATAATGGCACACGTACGTGCACGAGAAAATCAGCCACGACCTTACATTCGTTTTTGAACATAGACCACATGTAATAAACAGTCATCAGAGCTGTGACGTCACTCCACGGTTTTTTTTAGTATTAATTACTCATTAAGAAATGAAATGTGTTTGACAAATACCAGACTTTTAACTTTCTAACCCAGGCGTCGAGTCGTCGAGTTCAGAGTTCATTATCGGAGAAAATACTGATAACGATTCTTACAGATTTGACGTAATTATGCTAACATCGGAGGATGGTATCAGTTGGAAAATATTATCGGACATCCCTAGTAAACATCACTGAGTGTCGATGTGCAGAAAAATACCACGAACTTTTGCGTGTTTGTCTTTTTTCCCCAATTCAACATCTTGTCAACAGCAGGATATTAAAATCATCCACTGGGAACGTGATTCTCACTGATTGGTCCAGCAGAACACCAATAGGAGCCAGTGTATCATTTACATCGTCTTTGTCGTAGACAACACGTAAAAGTTAAAGTTTTATTGCCCACATATTCCTCCTGTGTGTGAGACACCCCTGGTGGTCGAAGGAGAGAAGTGAATTTCTCAGATAAAACTCTGAGAGCCGTTCTTCACCCACCATGAACATGTTAAAGAACCAGGAGTTGATGGGAGTTTGAGTCCTGTTGTGTAGAAAAACAAATCCTCGTTAGGGTTGAACCAGCGGCTGCTCTGAAACGTCCTCTGGGGTTTTCTCCCCCTCCCGTGACTTCTTCCTCTTCCTGTGGCCTGAGGAGACAAGACGTAAAATCAGGGATTATTAGGGATTATCACGCCTGCCTTACATGCAGAAGGTCCAGGGTTCGAGCCCTAGTGGAAGCATAGACTGTATTTAATGCTTCATGTAAGACGTTTTGGGTAAAGGTGTCTGCTGAATGTAAATGTAGAAAATGTTAAAAAATATTTGGAGTTGACAGCTGCTCATTTAGCACAGCGCTAGCTCTGTATCAAATGTCAACACTTGGGGCAGTAGAAGCAGGTTTTCATCTCCTTGTTCTGGGTGTGACTCAGGTAAAACATTTAAAGTTGGACTTAAAATGCTCAACCATTGCTATGGTTATGTTATGTTTTTTTCTTCTTCCAAACATGTTAATAACATTTCATTTAGACCATATTAGTTTGCCCCTTTTAAGGAGTTTTAAGGCAAGTATTATTTTTTTATTTTTATATCATCATCATACACGATGTCATGATGTCATGATGTCATTTCCCGAGTGGCAGAAACCTAACCACCCCGGTGTTTTCTGTGTCCTTTGACATTCCAAGGCCCATAGTCTGAGCAGGGTGAATGTTTGGACGAGACCACATGAGAATACAAAGTAGGGACGTTGGTTTTGTTCAGTGGGACAGCGGGGTAGAGAGTGTGTGGAGTGTGTGTGCAGCCGCGTTTGCATATGAATCACAGCCAGGGAAACAGAAAGAGGCGGTGGACGAGTGGACGAGTGGACGAGTGGACTCACTGAGTTTCAACAGGAGTTTCTTCCCCAGTGTGTCCTCTGAGCTGCTGAGGGACAGGCTGCTGATGAAGGGGGACGTGTCCCTTTCTATGGGGACGGAGGTCAGGTCTGTGAGGGGGGAGAGAGAGAGGGAGAGAGAGAGAGTCAGTGAATGATGGACAAATTCAGTCACCAGCAAAAACCTCACGAAATACGAGCTTCCTGAAACACCAGTATTCCATGTTACCAGTCTGCAACTATTGTCAGATTTTTTTCTGACAAGTGATGCTGACGGTGATGATAGCAGTGATGATACTTAGTGATTCTGACGGTGATGATAGCAGTGATGATACTGGATCCTGAGGTCCAGTATCATCCACGCAGGCTGCTGGTCTCTGGTTGGTGTTCAGTAATGTTGTGGACCATGTGTCATGGTGTGTAGTTCACGACCAAACAGATTTGGCACCGTACCAGTGTCTGTGTCCACCTCAGCTCTGTCCTCTCTGATGTACGGGATCTCATCCATCCTGAGGAACACGGAGTCGCTGGGACTCTTCTGACCGTCCGATTTACTCCCTGCAAAATCAGTGATTTGTTAAAACTACTCAACAACAAAACGCTGCTCTTTAAACCAGTAGAGTCGCCTCTCCCCGTCTGTTGACTTACTGACGATGCGGTTCTTCTCGTTCAGCAGCGATGTGCTGTGCAGGACGCCGGACTGCGGTCCGTGGGCTCTGGCTGAGCCCAGTCGGCCGGGCTCCCTGGGGGGAGGCATGAGCATGGTGGTGGGGTGAGGCGGGGGCATCAGTGTGGTCGAATGTTCTGAGGTGGGAGGATCGGGGGTCGGGGTGTTCCCCTCTGCGGGGCGAGCGTCGGCGTCGGGTGTTTGAGGAGAGCTGTCCATCCTGGTGGCCGTCACGGCGTTCTGGTAGTGACTCCGAGTGATCTGACACAGGAGGATCGTAAAAGTCAAGAACAGATTTATATTTTCACAACTGTGACGTGTTTAACAACGAATCCTAAAGTTTTTCTTCATCTTTGCCAAAACCAACAAAAACAAACCCCAACATTTAGAACCCAGCGTTCTGTCGCCGACGTGTCGTTACCTTGATGATCTGGAGGTGTGTGCGTGGCCGACGCAGACGTTACCTTGATGATCTGGAGGTGTGTGAGTTGTCTGACGGTGTAGTCCGGCAGGTAGACGTTCCCTCCTCCGTTCAGCTGACCCATACTTCCTCCGTACAGCATGGACTCTGAGCGGTCCAGACCACTGCTGCGTGACGGAGATCTGTGGACTGAGGACAGGACAGATGTGGACCGGGACTAACGTTAGGATGGATCGCGTACTTCACGGACCATGTGATTATCTGTGGTTTTAACTTTGCATCATTGATTTTTAAATGAACATTTTCAAAAAGAGTTCTGAAAATATTTGCATCATTGATTTTTAAATTAACATTTTCAAAAAGAGTTCTGAAAATAATTTGACGATGAATTTTTTCATTTTAAGCTCAAACATTGACTATGAATAAAGGCCCAAAATCCAAAGATTTCCCTTCACGTTCTGCCAAATTCGTACCTGTTGGCATGATAGCAGGAACTCCAAAGTAGGAGAACGCTCCATTCTCGAATCTGAGCGCCTCCTTACCGAACTCCACCTCCACTCGACCCTTTAGGGAAAAGAGGGAGAGACAGACGTTAGCTGAGCAGCTTGAAGCCATGACCCAAAAACAAAGTCTTTTGGCAGAGCAGCCTCTCTCGGAGCCTCAGGTTGAGCCCCGGGCCAGCTTCACATTCTTGTCCCAAAGACCTAAATTTTGAGTTTAATCCTCAACTTCCTTGTCCTGTCTGTCTCACACCAGAGCAGCTTCAGTCTCTGGTTTACCTGCAGCACCAGGACGAAATGGTCCACGGGTTTGTTGCGTTGGAACAGGAAGTGCTGCGATGCTCTCTTGTTCTTCTCGTCAAACTTCAGCTCCTGGACCACGCTGGGGTGTTTGATCAGTCTCAGCAGGATCTTCTCTGAGATGTGAGCCGGTTTGAACGGCTCCACCTCTGATGGAGCAGAAACCAGAGAAGAACTTTAGGAAACACCGCCACCTCATGGCCAACCCTTCAGAGACCCCGGCGGTGGTTGTACCTGTGGAGAGGAAGCGATGCGTCGCCAGCAGGAGCTGAGGGGAGATCTTCACCTTCATCTCGTTCTCCGACAGTTTGAAGATGGAGAAGTCCTGCTGCTTCTGCTCGTGGTGAGAAACGCGCCGTTTGGTCCGGTTGTCAGCTGAGAACACAGGCAGAACCAGGAAATGAACGCACGTCAGCGACGGCGACACGTCTGTAATTAACGACACGTACTGTAGAGGTCAGTCTCGTCCAGGATCTCTGACTTGATGATCTCCTCGATGATGTCCTCCAGAGTGACGATGCCCATCACCTCGTAGAACGGGTCGCCCTCTCCCTCATTGTTCACCCGCTGCACGATGGCGAGATGGGACTTTCCTGGATGTGAAAGTTTAAGACGTCATTACGACATTGTCTCAACAGAGAAGTTCTTTTTTACTGCAGTATATTCTATAGCGATGGCCCACAAACAGTGGTCCTCACCCCGTAGCCCATATGGCCCGCATGTGGTATCCAACATGTAGGCCTCAGGAAATATCATGGCCTTTATGTATCATCAATAATACATGAAGGTTTGTTGGCTAAACCCTGGTCCAAAAGAGGGTGATTAATGGGTGTGTTCAGCTGAGGAGTGGCCCACACTCTGGACTTCTGGACTCACTACAGGTACCACACCAAGGCACCACAGAACTGGATACAGTGGTCGAAGAGTTTGGACTAATGGATCTCTGTGACCACGTGAGCGTCAAGACTGGAGCTTCTGTCTTTTCAAATGGGGACTCGAGGGCCACATGTGGCCCACATGCAGCTCTGCAGTGGCCCAGTCTGTGGGCGTTTGAAGAGATTTCAAAGAAGAAATTAGATCATCATAATTTGTGAGTCAAAGAGTCATTTCTGCGGTAGCACAGACCGTGGAGGCAACACTTCCCGTAGCCTAGCAACATGCAGCCCACACTGCGTCGCAGCGCACCAGTTTACTAGCCAGTAACGCGTCCCTCTGGAGGCAGAAAAGTCCAAATTCACGAGCTTCAATATCGGTACTGAGGAGCTTCATCTTTATGGACGTTGATAAAACGGTGAGAAAACCTACGACTAAATCAAGTCCAGATCAACAGACCATATGTTCATGTCTAGATGTGAGGATTTGGGCTGGACCAAAACTATATTGTCCACGAAATTATTTTTGTATCCATGAATGTCAAGAATTTAATCTGAGGAATTCAAAGAGATTTGGTTGTGAATTTCACTCTTGCTCAGTTCTTTGGCAGAGACTCAGACTCCTCTCTGCTTCGACGCTCTGCGCCTGCCAAACACCACCACACACTGACCGCTCTGGCCCAGATCAGAGATGCACTCCACTAAATGGGTCAGTCTCTGATGTACAGATCATGTTTCTCTCTCTCTCTGTGTGTCTGTCTCTTTCATCCAATGTCGTCTCACCTTCTTCATCTACTCTATATCGTAAACGTATATATCGCTCTGTCTTTCTTGTTCATTCATTCATTCATCAGCAGTCGTCACACGTCCAATGACGTCATGAACTAAGAGCCGTCAAAGATGGACAGTAACGACCAATAAACTCACAGAATTGTGAGTTATTGATGTCATTTAATAAACCGTTTGGACTAGTCCCACCATGGAAACAGGCGTGAAACGCAAGATACATTCAATCAATATTTATATTAATATTTAATATTTATATATATTAATATTTAGTCATTTTTGTTTAACGATTAATTGTGATTGATCTAAAGCTACAGTGTGATGGTACTGACTTTGTTTGAACTATTGTAGAGTAAGTGAAATGAAGTCAGTAAATACTACAGAGTATGTACTTTAATATTCAGACTGTGTATATATATATATATATAGTATATATGTTGAATATGTTGGATTTTAAAGTCTCTTTTGTATCTTAGAGTTGTTGTTTTTTTAACAGATGTGTCTTTAAAATCCATCCAGTAGCATCAGGTCTATGTGGTCTTTCAGATACTCCTGAAATTCAAAGTCATCTTACAGAAAAACTAATTATATAACATAATATTATTACTATTGTAGTTACTATTATTGTCGTCGATGTATCGCGTCCATGTGTTATTTGTTTTGGATGACAACACAGTGAAGTGAGCATCATAATTCAGCTCTTTGTGACCTCATTGTTCCCAGGAGGCTTCACTTCACAGTGATTACAGAAGGCGGGAGGAGGGAGTGGTGATGTCAGATCTACGTCTCCTCAGGGACCGGAGCAGATCCTGCAGTAAAACACCACAAACACCACCGTCTGAGCAGAAGAGCCGTCGGCTCCGTCTCTCACATCTTATGAAGAATCGATTAAAAATTGATGAGGATTTATATCCATTAGTGCTAATAAAAAAACAAACAAAACAAGTTCGTCTCCATCACTGGCTGTTGGTTCTACCTCCTACAGGTTGTTCTCTCTGACCTCTGACCTCTGACCCCCAGACTCAGCATGTTATTATCAGTCAGACTGAATGTTAATATTTAACACAAACCAGTGAAACACTTTGGATCCTGGATTAGACTTTATTCTCCAGACAGGAGCAGGTAAGAAACAGCTGACTGTGCATGGAGGCTGTGAGAGAGGCAGGGAGGGCTGTGATTGGCTGAGAAGCACCCCACCCATTAACGGTGTTTTGATGGAGCAGCCAGCTGACTGCAGCCACAGCAGAGAGGAGAAGGAACGGCTCTGCTGCAGCTCCACTGCAGACAAAAAAATGTTGGACCACTGTCTTCAAACTATGTCTATAGCGCCCCCTGTGGTAGAGGGAGGGGGGACTAAAAGGGCTATTTGTTTGTAAACAGTAAGCAAGGAGGCTACGGGCTATTTGTTTGTAAACAGTAAGCAAAAATGTGAAAATATATGTTCACCCCCCCAGAACCCACCCAACTCCCGTCCACAAACATCAACAGTGGCGACCCCCCTCCGGCCCCCGCCCCCTCACCTTTCTTGAACTCCTCCAACATGGCATCGAGCTTGGTGTCGTTGAAGACGCAGTGCAGCGGGTGTTTGTAGAACTGGGTGATGGTCTTCAGGGGGGTGCAGTCGTCCGGGTCCACGAAGGCCAGGTCTTTGACGAAGAGGATGTCCACGATGTTGGAGCGCTCGTTTTCAAACACGGGTATGCGCGTGTAGCCGCTCTGCATGATCTCAGACATGGTGTTAAAGTCGAGGAGCGCGTCCGACGCCAGCATGAAGCAGTCGGTCAGCGGCGTCAGCACGTCCTCCACGGTCTTGGTGCGCAGCTCCAGCGCGCCCTGGATGATGTTGAGCTCCTCTTTGACCAAGTCGTGGTACGGGTCGGTGACGCGCAGCATCTCCAGAAGTTTCTCTCGGGTGTAGAAGTTTGAGATCTCCTGGTTGAGGATGAGGTCCAGGAGTTTGCTGATGGGGTAGGAGATGGGGAAGGAGAGCACCATCAGAAGCCGCGTCACCCAGATGGTCTTGGAGGCGATGGCGAGTCCGTGGCGCGACGCCACCGAGTGCGGCAGGATCTCTCCGATGAAGAAGATCCCGAAGGCGCAGATGACCGTGGAAACCCACGTCATGCCCAGAATCTGACACATCCACACGGCGAGCGAGGCGTTGATGATCGCGTTTCCCAGCAGTAACGTGCACAACACGTAGTTTCCATGCCGACGTACGGACTCAATCTTCCGTGCGTAATTCTGTTCGGCGTCGGTCCCGCTGTTCTGGATCACTTGCAGCTCCACCGGGTCCAGCGCCAGGAGGCTCAGGTTCAGCCCGCTGAACAGAGCAGAGAGTCCGAGCAGCAGGACCGAGACCAGAACCTGCAGCCAGAGCTCCGGCACTGCAGAGCGCTCCACCACGGCCACCCAGAAATCCCGAGTTCGGTAGTGTTCCCACTTGGATCCGTCGAAGGCGCACATGGAGTAGTATTTGATCTTCTCCCCCCTCCGCAGGTCTTTGGCCAGCAGCTCCACCAGCACGGAGTTCTGGCTCGAGGCGGACTTGAAAGAGCCCAGAACCTCGATGTCAGACGTCCTGGCGTTCTTGTCCGTGCACATATTCCGCTTAGGGTGAACTTGTCCCTCTCTGCCGGGAGTTGGCTCCTCGATGAAGGCGATCCAGGGCGCGGCGTTGTTGGCGCGCGTCCCCACGGTGCGGTTGAACCTCTGCGGGGAGGTAGAGTAGTAAACCCGCAGCATGAAGCGGGTCCCCTCGGTGGCTTTCAGCACCCCGTCCTCCACGGACAGCTCCGCTCCGGTCTCCTCCGGGCGGAAGCCAAGCAAACCGAGCGCCGGCGCCGGGAAGAGCGCGCAGGCGGCCAGGGAGAGCAGCAGCAGCCTGGTGGGAGACAGCGGAGCCCCGCGAGGGAACAGGGCTCCGCTTCGGAACCGCGCCGCCGCAGCCTGTGCAGCCATGATGCGGTGTGAGAGATGCTCACTCTAGTCCGGGTCACGTGGTGCTGCGTGGTTCCGGTCCATGTGAGAATGATAGAGGAAAACACTTTAGTTACCAGCGATACTTGTGAATATGATAGAGAGAGAGAGAGAAGGGCGCCCTCTACTGATGCAACTTTCAGTCAAAGAGCTTTAAGTCAAAGAGCCGCCCCCGCCCCCCTCCAGCCCTCCACCCCCCCCCCCCAAAAAAAAACACAAAAACGCACTCACAGACACTCGTACTGATACACTGACACACTACTATGACGTCAGGCAAATTGCTGCTGCTTTAGCTGAAATAGAAACACTTTAAATGATTAAATAATGACATGGATTTTAATCCCGTGTCAACCAAACGGGGGACATTTCCAAATTATTTTGACTGTGACTGCACTGCTAGTGTGCGTCATCAGCCTCGGAGCAGCTCGCCGTGATCGTATAGTGGTTAGTACTCTGCGTTGTGGCCGCAGCAACCCCGGTTCGAATCCGGGTCACGGCAAGGTTTTCTCAACGCCTGCGACGCTGTAATTTAGTCTCAGTCAACTTTATAAATAATAGTCATATTAGACATTACATTTCCATTTTGAAGTATGCCTTCATCCTACTTCAGTTACAGTAGAATGGTGTAGCTGAAGGTAAGTACCAAAACAAACCTGTTGAGCTGCAGTAATGCTATGTCGCCACAAGATGGCAGTAGTATAAAGACTATAACAGGTTGTGAGGCTCTGCATGGCAGGTCTCGTTTTGTTGCGATTCTTGTAAAAGAAACACTAAAATAGTTTTTATTATATTTTACATTTATTTTTTTCTGTATAAAATTATTGTTAGTAGAATTATTTCAAATGATATAGATCTTATCTCATTCATAATCTCGGCTGGTATTTTCAGATATCGAGCCTTGATTTTCGGTTTGATTAA